CCTTTTTAAAATTAGATAAAAAATTATTTTTTAACAGATTAAATTCCTAAATTTAAACAAATAATTTAATTAATTAAATAATAAATATTTTAATTATTAATTTAATTTAATGTTAATTATTTCTTAACCAAACTTTACGATTTCTTACATAGTTACATAACCTTTATTGAATACAGTTTACTGTACAGAATTTACTTACAGTTATTAATCCATTAATGCAAGAAGTAATAAATCATATTTTGAAATCTAATATTTGAAATTTTAGCTTCGGTTCTGAAAAAATTTTAATGCCAAATAATTTAAGTGATGAATTGAAAAATTGCAATATTTAAAAAATTTCCCGAAAATTGCTTGATATTTCTTATAAGACTTTAGTATAATGTCGAATTCCAAGCAACGAGACGGAATTAAATATTCGTTCAATCAGTTATGAAAGGAGATAAATATAGTAAACAGGTGAAGATGCCACACTTTTCGCTTTTGATGAAAATGCCGATTCGTCTTATTTGTGTGCTTGGCACGCAAATATTAAACTCTGAAAGGTATTTCGAAAGTACGTATTAGCACAGAACAGAAGATAAAGTTTCTTTGTTTTTTTTTTTTTTTTTAATATTCGTTTTCTTCCTACGTGCAAATTAGGCGTCTTACCCTGACAGTGGGAGTAAGTTGCCTAAATTGTTCGTATGAAACCTAGTACAGTAGACCCCCCCCCTATAACGCTTAGATACGTTCCACGCTAATCGAAATTTACGTTGTAGGAATGATTAAAAACATGAGCCAATCGCAGCCCGATAGGTGTGAACTTTACGGACTAAGGCTGTTTGAAAGGTTTTCTTTTATAAAATTAACCGATTCTAGACTAATTCCACTCAACATTTCCAAAACACGTATAATTTTTTGGGAGTAATCCGTATAAACTATGCTATAAACAAAAAATTATAGCATTACTTATCGAGTGTGTACCGTTCGACTACGCCGTTGCTTAAAGCTGGTTTTCATCGCGGAACAGC